TGTTTCTTATGTTAGGAAAGTTTTCCCCATCAGATCAACAGCCCAAACCTTTTAATCCTAGATAGGGAGATGAATGGTGCTTTATTCCATCCCCCCCCCAATTAATTAAATTAATTGCCTTTCCAAAATCAACACATTAGGCTCTGAACAGCGTTTGCCCAGTCTGACACCAATATGCCAGAATTTTACACATTCAGTATGTTCTCTATCAGCTTTTCCATTTTATTGCCTGCATTTTCCTGGTTTTTGTTTTACATCTGAAAGATTTTTCATAGTCAGGTTTTTTTTTAAATGAAATGGCATTGAAGCAAATTATTAGCATGCTAAAATTGATGAACCAGTAAAAGGGTGGTTCTATCACTTGACATAAAATGTACAATTAGGTTTAAAAGGAGATCTGGTTTTTAAGATCTTTTATGTGAAAATGTCCTTCTGAAATGTTCCTGCCAGCAGGGTCATTACCAATTTGAAATCATCACTAGAATGAGAATTTTGCATAATTAAAATCGCAGTCCAGGAGGTGCAGCGGCTCTTTGTAACTTTCAGAATGATGGATTGAGGAGGAAGCTTCCTTATATTAACTTTGGAAAGAGAAGGAATAATCGTACTGGAGAACATGTTCCCTTCAACATTTTTCCATCCAATTTTAATTTGTTGCCCCTAAAGCTAGAGAAGACTCCTGAGAGCCCCTTACACTGCAAGGCGATCCAACCGGTCAGTCCTAGAGGAGATCAACCCTGACTGCTCTTTAGAAGGCCAGATCCTGAAGAGGAAACGCAAAGGCTTTGGCCACCTAATGAGAAGGAAGGACTCCCTGGAGAAGAGCCTCATGCTGGGAGAGATTGAGAGCAAAAGAAGAAGAAGGGGACGACAGAGAAGGAGGCCCTTCAATGGACTCCAGAGGATGGTAGAGGACAGGAAGGTCTGGAGGAACGTGGTCCATGAGGTCGAGATAGGTCGGACACGACTTCGCAAATAACAACAACCTAGAAAAATATGTAGGTAGATAAATTGATTTAGATAAAGAATGACTAAACCGGTCAGTCCTAGAGGAGATCAACCCTGGCTGCTCTTTAGAAGGCCAGATCCTGAAGAGGAAACTCAAAGACTTTGGCCACCTAATGAGAAGGAAGGACTCCCTGGAGAAGAGCCTCATGCTGGGAGAGATTGAGGGCAAAAGAAGAAGAAGGGACGGCAGAGAAGGAGGTGGCTGGATGGAGTCACCAAAGCAGTCGGCCTGAGTTTGAATGGACACCAGAGGATGGGAGAGCACAGGAAGGCCTGGAGGAACGTTGTCCATGGGGTAGCGATGGGTTGGACACGACTTCACAACTAACAACAACAACAACCAAAGAATATGAAGAGAGAGAGGGATAAAGAATAGTGGAGAAGAGGAGAAAATAAAAGGGGAGGAGGAGGAAGAAGAAGAAAGAAGAGGAAGAACAACAAGAACAAGAAGACGGAGAAGGAGGTGGCTGGATGGAGTCACTGAAGCAGCTGGCGTGAGCTTCAATGGACTCCAGAGGATGGGAGAGGACAGGAAGGCCTGGAGGAACGTGGTCCATGGGGTTGCAATGAGTTGGACACGACTTCGCAACTAACAACAGCCTAACAAAGGTCTTTGCGATCTTTCACAACATCATTGTGAGAATCCTTAACACCTTAAAAACCCTGCCCTCCTCCATGAAAACCAACTTCACGTTGATTGAGTTGAGCAGTTTCCTCTTGTCTATTGATTGAAAATGAATGTAAAATTGGGTTTTCGGTATCAGGAGAATAAGATCAACTTTGTGGAGCTTATCAACAACTTGACATGTGTGCTCCATTACTGCAAGTAAACAGAATTTTAAACAAGATAGATTTGATCAGGAATTCCTCTGCCCTCCTTCTAATTACGCAGCCTCTTTTTTTAAAAATAAAAAATAAAAAAATACCCAGCCAGGTCTGCTGCTCTGAATTGGCAGGATGTCACATACAACCATCCCTTCCTAAGTGAGTTCAGATCTGCCAAAGTTTATAAGCCGGTGGAAGTTAGAAGGCAAAAACGCTTCCTGACCCGTTGCCGCCGAGTGTAATGTGGTACAATATCAGATTCTGGCAAAGCCGGCCTCCGTTTGGGTTCATTGAAATGTGAATACCAGAAGCGGTGGAAGAAAAACAAATAAGGAACAATCTGGCTGAAAGATTTGGGTTAGGTGACATCCATCCCGAGGTCCTGCCCCTGTCCTCTGGGAAAGGAGACGGTGATGCCATCTCATTGGAAGGTCTCTGCGGGAGAAAAATTCGTTTGTGGAGTTTATCACGCAGCGTTGTGAGTGTCCAGCTCAAAAACCTACTTGTTAGCCCATCTGTGGCTTTCTACACAAGGTTAAATCCCTCTTCTAGGGAGGAGAAGGAAGAGGAAGGGGAGGAGGAAGAAGGAAGATGAAAAAAGGAGGGGGAGAAGGAGGAGAAAGAAGCAGAAGAGGAGGAGGAGGAGGAAATAGAAAAAGAACAAGAGGGGGAAGAAGAGAAAAAAGAGGAAAGGAGGAGGAAGAGGGAAAAAGAAGAGAGGAGAAAAGAAGAAATAGAAGAGGAAATAGAAGATAAAGAACAAGAGGAGGAAGAGGAAAAGAGGAGGAGGAAGAAGGGGCAGACGAGGAGGAAGTGGAAAAAGGGGAAAGGAGGAGGAGGAGGAGAAATAGAAGAAGAAAGAAATAGAAAAGGAAATACAAGAAAAAGAACAACAAGAAGAGGAAGAATTCCCCGTCTTGATTTGAACAAACCAAATTTCCCACAGCATTTCATGCAATAAAAACCTGCCTTTAAAAATACTGTTTCCCTCCTTCTGAAGGTTTTCTTTATTTTTATTTTTTAAAATCATTAATGACATTTCTTTTCATTCTCCATAATCCTTGCAATATTTTTTACGCCATCTGCCCGGAGTAGCCAGTGGAACAAAACGGTTTAAAGTGGATTAAATTATATCGCCGGTTAAAAAGCTACCATTGGGTTCGAACTTGGAAAGGATTGTGGGTTTTTGTTTTTGTGTTGTTTTTTTTTGTTTTAAAGCAAACGAAACCCAAATTTTATGCAGCTTGCAACACTTCTGTAACTCAAAGGTTTATTGGGGTAGAGCTGACCCTGTAACAGGACCGCGGCTTTAGTATAAATAATTTAAATCTTATACAGAAGACAAACTGTTCTTTCGGCCTCGGGCTGGATTAGGATAAGCGAACCATATGTACAATATTACACATACCTGTTCTTAATTGGGCCCCTGTAAGGCGAGGGTGTGTGTATATATTTTAACAGGAAAACGTAGATTCTTGTTACTAGCATTGATATCCATCAGCTAATAGAAAAATAGATACGGATTTTCCCAGGGATTGCTATAAACATGAACTCTCCGTGTTTTTTTCAAACAAGAGACTGTGGTTTAATCAAACCTGTATTTTCCTCCCCGCCCTTATCGCCAGTAAGTATCTGTCTTCCAGCCGTACAGTTGGAAGTAGCATAGATTGTATTTCTGATTCTTTTCTGTAATTACACCATTGCTAATTGTGTCGTAATACAGTAACCTAAACAAACCTTTATTGGATTTTCTTTGCAAATTCGCCGCAAGTTGTACAAGGAGACATTGAATGCATAGAGCAAATAACATCGGTGAATAATGCTATTGACTTTCTTTTGGGGGGGAAAAATGATGGGCTTTTTTTTCCCCCCCCAGTCTAAATAGGCTGAATAAATTAGCATCTAGGATGAGAGAAAAATTCTTCTATCCAGTAACGAAAATAAATTCGCCAAAATGTATAATCCGTGCAATAAATGAAAAGCTTTGAAACGGAGATGAGCACCGCCCCCTAGAGTCAGGAACGACTAGCACATATGTGCAAGGGGAACCTTTATCTTTTTAAGTCAACGTATACTTGCCCATAGAGAAAAATCCTTTAAAACCATGGAAGAGGAGCTGAGCCACGTTGACCCAAAAGTCTTCTTAAGGATGGTTGTTATCTCACCAGCTTCATTCCTAACAGGTTGGGGGAAACTGGTGATGGATTAAGATTCGGTGGGTCCTTAAACAAGGTGGGGAAGCCCACCCATCTTAAGGTTGCTGAGGTTGGGAAACAATGAACTAAGAAAAGCAGAGAAGCTGCTTTCCTGGTTTGAATAATGCGTGACCGAGATGCCTGATTTGCTTCTTCCAAATAGGAAGCCCAGAACTAGCTGGGTTTTTCTTCCATGGAAGCTTGGAATCTCTTCCATTGTGTCTTAGCATGACTCCAGGACTTCTTCCCCAAAAGGACTATTTCAGACTACCATGTGGACAAAGCAGTCTCCTGCTCTTCTCCTCTTCCTTCTCTTCCACCTCTTCTTCCTCCTTTTCCTCCTTCTCTTCCTCCTACTCCTGCCCTACTTCTCCTCTTCCTCCTTCTCCTCACCTCCTTTCTCCTCCTTCTCCTCTTCCTCCTACTCCTCTTCCTCTTCTNTTCTTTATTGGCCAAGTGTGATTGGACACACACAAGGAATTTGTCTTTGGTGCAGATGCTCTCATTGTACATAAGGAGAATAAAATACATTCATCAAGAAATACAAAGACACAACACTTAGTGATAGTCAAGGTTACTAATAAGCTATCAAATTGTACAAGGAAATAAAAACAATATACATTGAAGGACACAAGCAACATGGTTATAGTAATAAGTGGGAAAAGATTAATAGTAATGCAATCTTAGTATTTCTGTTGTGAGAATTAGTTGTTAAGCAGAGTGATGGCGTTACCCATAAAGAAGGGGGGGGGGGTCAAGCTATTCTCCAAAGCCCCTGAAGGCAGGACAAGAAGCAACTAATCAAGGAGAGAAGCAACTTAGAACTAAGGGGAAATTTCCTGACAGCTCAGCTTGCCTCCAGAAAAATTGTGGGCACTCCATCACTGGAAGTTTTTAAGAAGAGATTGGATAACCATTTGTCTGAAGTGGTGTAGGATTTCCTGCCTGAGCAGGGGGTTGGTCTAGAAGACCTCCAAGATCCAGGCCCTGTCCTATCCGATCCTAATTTAGCTTAAATACAGAAAACTTGGACAAACAAAACGACTGCAAAGAACAGATACGTTAAGATAACCTTGATCGTTACTTTTTTTTTTCTGTGAACACACTGGCACGCATTTTTTTTTAAAAAAGAAACTCTGATGCCCTTGGTTGGCATTGAGCGAAGGAAATTGCACCTTATTTTAAGTATCAGGAGCTGAAAATAAGGAGTGGGGAACAAAATGTTTTTCTTGGTTTTGAAAGTCATAAGGTAAGGATGAGGTCTGGTTTGCGGGCCAAATAACGAGAGGGGAACATTCTGAGCACGACGCCTATTTTGAGGTTGGTTGATTCTGTGTTGTGTTGTGTTTGTGTGGTAGGTATACGTCCCAGATGACGCCAATGCTACCCCAGGAAGAGCAATTAACAAGCAGGCCTTCGAAGGCCTAATAACGGGAGTGCTCAGGATCCTGACTGCAGTGTTTGGCTCTCTGATGTCCAACCTACTGAACACTAATAGCCAAATTTGTGCGCCAAAATTGATTCAAGATCTGAAAAACAAGACCTCCCAAGCTGAGATTTTTAACAACAGGATACAAGACCTCATCAGGTAAGAGGACAAGCAGATGTTCCTCTTTTGTGTTTTCATTCCCATCTTGGTTGTGCCTTCCGGAGGGGCTGGGACTACAGTGCCCATAATTCCATTGGTCAAGCTGTTTTTGGTATTCTTGAGCGTTTGTCCCAACTCTTTTGGAAAGGCCTACTATTTTAAAGGTCTTTTAATCCTGCCTTTATGATTCGTATAAGTAACTCAAGGTGGCGAATATGCATAATACTNGATAGATAGATAGATAGATAGATAGATAGATAGATAGATAGATAGATAGATAGATAGATAGATAGATAGATTCTGTGACTCCATCCAGCCACCTCCTTCTCTGTCGTCCCTTTCTTCTTTTGCCCCTCCATCGTTCCCAGCATGAGGCTCTTCTCCAGGGAGTCCTTCCTTCTCATTAGGTGACCAAAGCATTTGAGTTTCCTCTTCAGGATCTGGCCTTCTAAAGAGCAGCCAAGGTTGATCTCCTTTAGGACTGACCGGTTTAGTGCGTCTTTATTTAAATCAATCTATCTATTTATCTACCTATATATATATCTATGTTGTTGTTAGTTGCAAAGTTCTGTCCGACCCATCGCGACCCCATGGACCACGTTCCTCCAGGCCTTCCTGTCCTCTCCCATCCTCTGGAGTCCATTGAAGCTCGCTCCAACTGCCTCGGTGACTCCATCCAGCCACCTCCTTCTCTGTCGTCCCCTTCTTCTTTTGCCCTCCATCGTTCCCAGCATTAGATTCTTCTCCAGTGAGTCCTTCCTTCTCCTTGTCCACCGCTAAGACTTTCCGGCTGTCGGGATGCTGACCTCTGCTGACCGATCTCCGCATTAAACCAGTTTTTTTTTCTTAACGTGAGACCTTGACCAGTTCAATTGGAAGGGTCATTTGAGCCATGCTGGCAGTGAAACATCCCAGCATAGGAGGGTTTGTGTTTCTGCTTCTCCTGCCCTCCAAAACTATCCACATACTTTTCTTCGGCTTCTCCATGTAGATAGCAATAGCAGTTAGACTTATATACCGCTTCATAGGGCTTTCAGCCATCTCTAAGCAGTTTCTATATATATATATATGTACCTCCTCGAAATAAATCGAAAACTACAGAAAACCGAATAATTAATTCTACCTCCAATTGTTTCTGCCTACCCGATACATTCCCATAGAGTAGTTATGCTTCAAGTCTCTTCTCTTCAATGGGGTCTTCTTATGGGGCCAAGGAAGCATGCCTTCTCTGTCATGACTCCTGGCCTCTGGAAACCACATCACCCCAGAAGGAGCTCCCATCATGCTGTCCAGCCTGCCGAGAATCAGCTGTTTCAGGCTGCCGGGATTGCCATAGCCTATTGCCGCCTCCATACACCCCGTTTTTGGCCTCCACTCACCCCATTTTCCGCCCATTCTAGGCGGCGGGGATCAGAATGGTGGAAAATGGGGGCATGTGGAGGCTGAACACGGGGCACGCAGAGGCTAAAAATGGGATGGAGAGGCAATAAGCAGGACCTATCCTGAGTCCTACATCAGTTACAATCCTTTTTCTACTTAGCCATGCCCATGGTAATAATCCAACGGTGAAGATGCACCAAATTCCCTCTCGCTCTCTTCCAGGGAATGTGAGAATGGTGGCCTTCAACCATGAATTGATGCCCTGCTTGAAAGCAACACCCCCGTTAATGTACCCGCTCTTCCTTTTGTGTCCCCCTCTCCAGAATGGAGCAGATCAGGTCGCCTTCCATGTGGCTGGTGGGTTTTCCGCTCTGGAGCAAGTCCTTCAAATTGCCACAACGTCCATCAACCTGAACTCCGTTTCAAGGATCCCTTTGAAGTAAGTCTGATGCCGCTTGGCCAGTTTTAGACGCTCAATGAATTAATGTCATTTGTGGTCAGGGTGATTTTTCTAGCTCCCTTTTCTCTACCTGGCTGCCTTCCTTCCTTCCTTCCTTCCTTCCTTCCTTCCTTCCTTCCTTCCTTCCTTCCTTCCTTC